GAAACATTGGCTGTCGTATTAACTTTAGCGCTCCTTAATTCCGGAGGAGATATACAAAAACTAGATCCTTCATTACTTGAACTTAAGTCTTCATCATCAGAAGAAAGCATCGAAGTTATCGTAAGAGAACTACTGCAGAGGTTATTCACGTTCATATCGAGAGCTGAAATATCGTGACTCTCCGCCATCTTGGCTGCTATAGCTTAAAAGTCTTACGCAAAGTCTTACGCAAATTTCGATGGAAACATTTGTTATAAAATTCTCTTGGACGAAACACATCGTAATTAAGTTTTTTGAAGATTTTAGTGGTTCTTGCTTTGAAACATCGTAGTGTTTTGGGGAAAATCAGGGCAACGTACATACATATAACGTCTCGCCGAACAAATGAGAGATCCGACAATAGATATAAACAATGATCGAGTATCGCAGAGAGCAGAGTACAAAGTGCAAAATATTTTGGCACATGAGCATTACTGTACGCGCTATGTTGAATGTAGCATACTTTTTAAACCTTCATTCTGCTCTTTGACATTTATGGTAAATGTATTTAGCTCTTATATCGTAGCTTGAAGAAAATGCGAAAGTCTCAATTCGAACGAAAAGATACAAGGCTTGTCTTTGACCAGTGCGCCGTCACTTTTCAATAACTTACCTACTTTGCGACTTGGACCTAGATACTRACTTAGGAATAAAATACGCATTGTCGTAGGGTTAATCAATAATATATTTTTTTCCAAACAAATGGCGTCATGCGAAAGGGCATAATATAGTCTACACAACTACCTCAGAGAAGATTCACCGTAACTCTTCGAAATACTCCGCATGTTGAAATGTTTTACATTTTCCCATTGCTTATGATGGAAACGGCATATGATTGGATTAGGTGCAAAACTCTGACAGCTAAATGACACGCACGGAGACTATTATGGGCCGGCAAACCGAATGTAGTGACTGTTTCGGCCTGAGGGCCGAAACAATTACCGAGAACGGAGGCAATAAACCATATACATCCCGCGGGCCGCAGGCCCGAGGGATGTATAGGCTTATTGCCGACGTTCGAGGTAATTAAGTATTTTATTTCTCAATTGAGAAGGTTTTCTATCAAATGTTGCTCATTATAAATGCGAACGGTCTATATATAGTTATTAACCGGGTTAATAGAGAGTTTTAGATTTACGTTCACGGCAAACGTGAAACGTCAGTTGACCAGTGAAAAATTATTTCAAATAGCTGAGAAAGAATCGCAAAAAAGTTCAAGTAGCAGAAAAACAAAAGAATATTTGTCTTTGGTAAGAAAGTTTGCAAGAGGTTAAGTTAAATACAGGAAAACGATGAAAACATTGTCACGTTTGCGGTTTGCGGGCAGAAAAATAATCAATCTAAAACTCTCTAATAACTATATATTGACCTCGCATTTATAATGAGGGTTATAACAAAAATAAAGCCTTGTGAATAACAAAGAAAACCGTGTAAATTGAGAAATAAGGACAGATATATCCCTTTTCGACAATATATGTTAGTCGTTGATATTTAGAGCCTTCTTGACAAGCATATATAGGCTATAAGAATCAGCTTGTTACATTGTCATTTGTCACATATGACATTGTCAAGTTCAAGCATAGTTAATAACTATGGTTCAAGTGAATAACGAGTCATGTTGAATGAATAGCGCAGCGCAACCGTGACGCCATAAAAACGAAGACAAAGGCGAAATTCGGACAAACAAACTTACAAGTTTACTTTCAGCAGATAATTTTCACAGCCGATCGCAGTTGATCTTAGTTTACATGGGTTATTATTGTAACTTTAAGTAAAAATACGTATAATCCTCGTAGCGGTTAAACAGAATGCAATGTTTGTCCGAATCTTTAAGCTATTTTTAGAATCAGTGCGCTGCGCTATTTGTCCTTATATATCGCGTATTTTAAATCTGGCTCATATCGAAACTCTGTTCTCCTCACCGATCTTAGCTTGTTCTAGCTGAATTAAAGCATGGGGTATTTAATAGCGCAATGGAATTTGAAAATTCACTCTTGGTTTTATTTACCTTCGCCCGTAAGTAAAGAAGTCAAAGGAAATTATCTGATCGCGATAGGAACTAGTCTCCCTCAGATCCGTTTTTAGTGTCGGTCGTCACGCAACGCTCCCTCCCCACAAAGGGAGGGAGCGTTGCGTGACGACCGACACTAAAAACGGATGCGAGGGAGACGAGATAGGAACGAGCTACCGGCCAATCAGAGTTCCCGTAAGAATTGAACTGGGCGCCAGCCAATAAGAAATCGCTTCTTATTTCGGGTCACGGGAACAAGGATTCTGGCGCTGTTTCGCATACGGTTATTTCGAAGAAATCATTCCGGCTGAACGCAGGCTAACCTTTTGCGTGATTTATCATGAACTCGTGGCTGTTGGGACAACAAGGTGTCGAATGTAAAAGAACAAACTTGGGAGAGAGCACCTATAACATTTTACTATATCTTACATTGAGAGTCCCATAGAGTTAGAGTCTAAATCCCAGAAAGAGCCACACGTAATATTAGAGCGTGACTCGTTCTGAAGAGGCAGCTAGGAATATAAAAAAATACTTGCATCAGTATTAATATCACAAACTGCATAGACTAGCAGGGAGAAGATAGCTATGACATTCTACTTTTCTCGCCGAAACTGGTGTAGCCGTTGGCTGTTCAACACAAGACGAGCGAAAAAACCTATCTGTATACTAGTCGTTTTGCTCCTCATTGGTGTTTTCGCCTTCTACTTAAGCACATCTCGTAACATTTCATCCTTGTTACAAGATCCAGTTAGGAATTGTATAAGCAATTCTAAAAAGTGCCCGTACATGCGACAATTTGATGGAACTTCCGCAAATGGACCAACCAAGTTTCCCCTCATCATGCCAAACGTTGAACCAGATATTTCATGTGAAGACAGGAAACTTTTTATTGCTGTTGTTGTGAATTCGGCATCTGATGAGCAATATCAGCTTCGACGAATGGCTATCAGAATGACTTGGGGAGGTTCTACTGAAATACAACCTAGATGGAGAGTGTTTTTCGCTTTGGGAATCAACAAAAATACTGCCGTTGACATTAAAAACCGACGAGAATCACTGAAGTACAACGACATACTCATTGGTAACTTTACAGACACCTACAAGAACGTGGTGATTAAGACTTTTATGTCTCATTACTGGGCGTACTTCAGATTGAATTGTCAATATATTCTTAAGGCCGACGATGACGTTTATATTCGAGTTCCAAGGCTGGTGGAATGGTTAGTAGGTCCAGCCAAATTACCAACGAGGTTTTATGGAGGATACTTACATGAGATATTGACTGTTGTTCGCGATCCAAGAATCAAGTGGTATCTTCCCAAAGAGGTTTATAACGAGACAAATTTCCCTCCATTTTCGCAGGGATCATTTCAAGTGGTCTCCACCGACATGCTTCCTAGTTACTTCCACTATACTCAGTTCATCAGGAAACCGTTCTACACAGATGATGCATATTTTGGTGTTATGGCTAGAGACCTTGGTTTAAATGCCACACAAATTCCAAGCTTTCTTTTCTATCATCCACAAACAGACGAACAGCTCCTTGCTGCGATTGCCTTTGGTCATCAGGTTGATGTTACTGGAATGTTGAGGTACTACTCTAGATACGAACTTCTAGCTTAAATAAAAAGCTGTTCCCGGCTATACTCCGTCATTTCTCCCTCTCCGTATTTTGAAATTTTTCAGTTGAAAACAAAAGTGAAGCAAGCGACGAGGTAGAGATGTAGTATTAAATTACCAGAGTGAAGTTGGTGTCAGGTTTTAGAGTCAGATTTTAGAGTCAGGTTTTCGGATCTAGTGTCAGATTTTTTCCGGGGGGCGTCACATCATGTTGAACACAAAGTGCTCTATATTCGTAGAAACGCTTTAATTTACCATAAAACCAACACCAAGCTTTACTCACACGATATTTCTTGAGATTCGTTGTCTCCGCTGTAACATGATCACTCTTTCAAGCGGCGTGACAGAAAAATCTGACTCAAAAATCTGACAACAAGTGATATTTCTTGAGGAGACTTGATTGTGACTTCCAAATGCGTTCATGAAGATCCCTTAGAAATGACGCTTGTTGGGAGATGTCAAAATTCAAGAAAAATATAATGGTTGAAAAGAGAATTTTGTTGATCACTCTCTCACGCGGCGTGACAGAAAAATCTGACTCAAAAATCTGACAACAAGTGATATTTCTTAATACTTTTATGTGTACTGCTTCATCGACAGTTTATTTGGACATCAAACTACGGCTTGGCTTATTCGACGTRAAGCATGGATATTTTTCGTTAAGAAAAAGTGCGTCAACATTTTGAAATAAAAGGGTTCAGTAACTCGATATATGGGAGCGGTACTCGAAGTATTTGTGGCATGAAGCCCGTTGATGGTAGATAAAACAACTCAAAAAATCTGAAACCGCTGTTTATTTTCTTTGAGGTGAGTGTTTYGATYCCCAAAGACAACGARTCGCAAGAAATATCGTGTGAGTAAAGCTTGGTGTGGGKTTTATAGTAAATCAAAGCGTTTCTACGAATATAGAGCACTTTGTGTTCAACATGATGTGACGCCCTCCGGAAAAAATCTGACAATAGATCCGAAAACCTGACTCAAAAATCTGACTCTAAAACCTGACACCAACTTCACTTTGGTGACTCAGTGTTCAAAACTCGCGAAGATATCCAATTCTTTGAAATCTTCCACTAACAATTTTTTTTAAAATTTCATATCTTACTGACTGATGCCATCGTTATGGTTTGATTTTAGGTTGTTTTTTTGTTCACCATAATCCATGCTTTCTTTGTTATAGTACAAAATAGTGCCAATTAAACAATAGAAAATGGAATTTGCATGAAAATGTGCGATTTAGTATTACTGAAGTTTCACGGTTATATTGTTTGCACTCTACCAGACAAAACGTAACAAGTTGTTTGAAATATATTTGTTATAAGATAAGTTGAAAAAAACCAACTCGAAAGCTCATTCTTACCTTCATTTATGATTCATATTGTTTTTTTCTCATGGATTATTCAGGGACTCGTTATTTTTTCCTTTGTTAAAAAGTAAATAATTTAGTCTTCGTTACGTCAACAATTTGTTTTTGCATTCTTGTGGTAAAATCCTTTGAAGAATGACTTCTCTGCTTGAAATTCCACATTATGTCTTTTATCTAAAACATAACGTTATTCTGATCTTTTACAGTGTTGCTCTTTGTCTCTTTCGTCAAATTGTTGAGCGAAACATTTTATTGTCATATCTACATCATAGTAGCCTGCGTCACATCCGGAATTTTCTTCGTAAATATCAAAATATCACCAAAAGTTTGTAATTTGTGCCATCGATTCATCGCAAAAGATTATTAAGTTTTTCTTTTAAATGGAAAACAAAAATTCAACCCTGTTTTAGAAGTGCAAACACTATAATTTGAAGTACGACGAGCGAGTTCACACGTGTGCCGTCAATGCATTGTTGACCGTATTCCTAAATTACCTAGGGAATAACCTTGGTCTATGACTACTAACACGCTACTTCCACGAGGTCTTTCATACAGAGAACATCAGATACGATCGGTTAACACTGAAAAGCGAGCGACTTTCSGTAGCCCGTTGGCAAGTTTACAAACACTTTTCCCTTTTCAAAGAATGCTTTGATGGAATCCTCATCATTTTGAAAACTAGGACGCTTTGCTCGTTCACATCCGGTTTGATAGTGTTATCCAATGGAAGTTCACGTTAGAATGAGCTTGGCTAACAGCCAATCAGAATCTATTATATATAATCGCACAATTTGCGGGGGGTCCAGAACAAGCTTTCTGGCGATGTTTCGCAGACGGTATTTACGAAGAAAATTCCGGATGTGACGCAGGCTACATCATAGCTCCCATACATTACCTTATAAACAATACACAGGAACCTTGTTTGGGCTGCCTGTGTTTCACGAGGTGAAGCGGAAGGAAACATCGCCGTCGATGGGACACAAAACCCACTGCTTTCCTGCCAAGTGTCAAAGGAAAAAAAACAGTTATTTGATTTTTTGATTAATCTTTCCGGGAAAATCACTTTCGGTATTGTTATTACCGGTTAACGACATATCGTTGCCCGCTGAAAGCCGTTGCCGGGGAAACATCGAAATTTGTTCACGTTCAAGTGATACCCTTTCGCCCAATCAGAGTACGAGGTTTGGACTTTGACATTTGGTATATAAAAATCTTGTTTACGGCAAACGTGAAACGTCAGTTTATCATTAAAAAGTTCTTTAAAATTAGTTAAAAGGAATCGCAAAAATCTCCAAGTAGTAGATAAACAAAAGAATACTGGTCTTTGTAGAGAAGGTTTGCAAAAGGTAAAGTGAAATGTAGGGAAACGATGAAAGCGTGGTCACGTTTGCCGTTTGCGGGAAGGAAAAACGGGAATCTTAATCTGCTTAATCTTGTTTACGGCAAACGTGAAAAGTCAGTTGACCATTGAAAAATTATTTCTAAGTAGTGAAAAAATCCTCAAGTACTAGATAAATAAATGAATATTTGTCTTTTATGAGAAGGTTTGCAAAAGGTAAAGTGAAATCCAGGGACACGGTGAAAACGTCGCGGGCTATGTTTGCTGTTTGCCTGAAGAACGATAGTAAATGAGTGAGTGACACATTTCCATATTCAGACCCTAGCTTCATAATGACTCGTTTCTACGCTCCGCGTATCCACGAGTTAAAAACGGGAATCTTACTCTTCCTGAAATGTCCAATTTACTCAACCCTCGAAAAACTACAGGGACCCCAATTTAGATAAAAACTATAAATGCACACCTGTGGACATCACAAAGTTAATTAATGTTTATTAGTCATTAAGGAGTAGTCTCTCTAAGATTTTAGTAAATCGTTGTAAAGGTATGGCATTAAAACCCGTTAATAACTCGTGAATGCCATCATTAAGAACTCAGCTTGTGTTATATAGATCAGTTATTATAATAAAGTATTCCAAAATAACCATATTTTGTAACTATCAACTCGGCTTTTATGAAGAAGAATAAGAGAATAATTTGAGAGTACCTTATGGTTAGAGTCTAAATCCCAGAAAGAGCCACACGTAGTAGAGCGTGACTCGTTCTGAAGAGGTAGCTAGGAATATAAAAAAATACTTGCATCAGTATTAATATCACAAACTGCATAGACTAGCAGGGAGAAGATAGCTATGACATTCTACTTTTCTCACCGAAGTTGGTGTAATCGTTGGCTGTTTAACACAACAGCAACTAGAAAACCTATCTGTGTCCTAGTCGTTTCGTTTCTCATTGGTGTTTTCATCTTAAGCATTTCTCTTAATATTTTACCCTCGTTACAAGGTCCAGTTAGGAATTGTATAAGCAATTCTAAGACGTGCCCGTACATGCGACAATTTGATGGAACTTCCGCAAATGGACCAACCAAGTTTCCGCTCATTATGCCAAACGTTGAACCAAATATTTCATGTGAAGACAGAAAACTTTTTATTGCTGTTGTTGTGAACTCGGCATCTGATGGGCAACATCAGCTTCGACGAATGGCTATCAGAAAGACTTGGGGAGGTTCTACTGAAATACAACCTAGATGGAGAGTGTTTTTCGCTTTGGGAATCAGCAAAAATACAGCCGTTGACATTAAAAACCGACGAGAATCACTGAAGTACAACGATATACTCATTGGTGACTTTTTAGACACCTACAAGAACGTGGTGATTAAGACTTTTATGTCTCATTACTGGGCGTACTTCAGATTGAATTGTCAATATATTCTCAAGGCCGACGATGACGTTTATGTTCGAGTTCCAAGGCTGGTGGAATGGTTGGTAGGTCCAGCTAATTTACCAACGAGGTTTTATGGAGGATATTTGCAACGATCATTGAAAGTTGTTCGCAATCCAAAAATGAAGTGGTATCTTCCAAAGGAGGTTTATAACGAAGCAAATTTTCCTCCATTTTTAAAGGGATCATTTCAAGTGGTCTCCACCGACATGCTTCCTAGTTACTTCCACTATACTCAGTTCATCAGGAAACCTTTCTATACAGATGATGCATATTTTGGTGTTATGGCTAGAGACCTTGGTTTATCTGCCAGACAAATTCCAGGCTTTCTCTTCTATCATCCACAAACAGACGAAAAGCTCCTTGCTGCGATTGCCTTTGGTCATCAGGTTGATGTTACTGGAATGTTGAGGTACTACTCAAGATACGAACTTCTACCCTAAATTTTTGCCTGCTCTCTGGTTTTTTTCCCCTATCAATGTCAGTAACAGATTTCAACTTTTATGACAGTGACATTTCCTGTCGCATGTTTTTTTATTTTTGTGTGAATTTTGTAAGGAGAACCTTCGTTAGAGGCATGCAAGAAAATTTTAGTTATCGACACGTGATAACTGGGCTGATAGTACGTGTAGAGGACCACTGTTGATTGTTGAATTTAGGCTGTTTTATAATCCTTTTCATAACGTGTTTCCAATTTTTACAATTCTTTGCTCCAAGCATGAATATATTTGCTTTGATGCTAATCTTACCGTGGGAGGAGCAGAGCATGTAGCTATGGAACGCTTGCGCATGCGTGCACTTCATCACGTTTTCTAAGAATTTTGAAGAGTTTGAGTGAGACTGGAATAAATGTTTGTTTTCTCCAAGTATACAAAAAAATTCGCGAGTATACTTTTGTCTGACCAAGATACTATATTAAATAATACAATATGAAAGAATTAGCCTTAAGTTTCAAGCATGGACACTAAGTTTTGWCATTTTGTGAAGTCCAATTTATAAGGCATGTTTGAAAGTCAAATTTACTTATGTTTTGACTAATTTGCATACGGATTCAGAGCATGCGCAGACGTTTTTTACTCGTGTTTATGCAGTGTTCATTGCTGGGTTTCAATCAGTTGATAAAAGTCTTTGAATCTGCTGACATTATTTACATATGAATATTATAAATTTCGAGCGGCTCGGAAAGCAACATTGAATAAACCTTCTCCAACCTCTTTTAATAGCTTTTACGACGGGAATACGTCATCTCATTTCGCTAATTCTGTCTTTGTTCCGCTGCTCGTATCGTTCCCACCATGGGCTTCTAAGGGTCCAGTGAGAATCACACACAATGACTACACATTTGTACTGTTATGAAAAGTATTGTTTGAATACTATTACTTTATTATAGTAGTATAATTATCTAGCTCGTAGATGTTCCCAAACTTTCACTATAAATTTACAACCCTTTTTGAAAACCTCCATCCTTCCTTTTCTACTGTATAACATAACATTTAAAAAATTTTCAGACGTACGATATGTGCTTTTCATGAATAAAGCAAATTTTTCTCTAAGAAAAATTTCTTTGGAAGATATAGGCATTTTCCTCGCTTGTTTTCAAGGTTTTTCTTTTTCTTTTTTTTTTTTTTACTCAAAAGAACTTTCAACTTCAACTTCAATCTTTGGAGTTTCACTAACTTTTCAACCTCGATGATTGTCAACGAAGTTACACAATAATATCCGAAAGGTAAGTTTTAACTGCCGATCTCCACAGCAAAAATAATTTAACATCCTAAGAGCTTTGATTTTTTAAATAGAACTTTCTAGAACATAAAAACAAAAATAAAAATGAAATAAATAAAAAATAATTATTATAACATCATTTACTAATTTTGCGTATGATATTGCTTTTCATGAATAATACATTTTTTTCTGAAAACTTTTTTCCTTCGTAAAACATTTAATACTTTCTATAGGACATACTTTGTTTATACAAAATATAACATACGTTTGTGTCTATTCACTTCAAAGATTTTCTATTCGCTATTTTTGTTCATATTTCTTGAGTGGATGAATTGATTCCTATCTTTGTTCATTCTATTTCATCGTAAAAAAATCAGTGCGGAGGCCTAATTATTTTTACATCCGCTTTCCCGGCACGCAGTTAACTACGCCTTGTGGTGTAGAATTAAAAATGTTTTTCAGTTCACACGACTAGTGTTAGTTTGATTGAAAATGTATTTTTCTTTTATCAATGTAATTAGTAATTAACTATAGTATCCTGCTTAGTTGATATAAAATGTGTTTCCAATTTACATGACGGCACATCTGGTGGTAGCATTTGATTGGAACAGTCTTTTTCGTTTATCCAAATAGTTTTGAACTAATGTTTCGTGTCGTGAAGATAGGCAGCACTTCTGCGGCCATTGGCGGCTCGCCACGTACTCTCTGTCCTGCTCACTTAGTCGCAACATCTCCTTTGAAGTACGAAATTTTAAATAATTTCTCGCGATCAGATTTAAACACCATTTGGAAAGCTGATGGGCCTCGTGAATCTTTAAAAAAATGTTTAGGAATGTTAAGAAACCCGACAGACACAGACCTTTGATATTTATATAAGGCATTATATTCAATTAATATACATATAATTATATTTGTGTCTAAATATATCTAATTTATTCATATTACTGTCCTAATTAGAGATAAAGAAAACGTTTTCTTATTCTAACGGGTTCCCTGTGGATTTGGCGGGAAATTTTGCAGTGAAGGGCGCGCGTTTGTACCATTCACAGGAAGCGGACAAAAGTGAATTTTCCCCCGCTCTTTTTTCCCGCCATTTTTCTCTGCTCTCTTTTAGGTAACTGGAACCGTGCTTTATCATACTTCTATTTTCTTCATGATATGAAATGTAAACCCATTTTGACACACTGTTCTCTTTCCATAATATTCAATCAAGTTTGGATTGAAATCAATCAGTTTAAAATGTAAAGATTAAAAACGACAAACCTTTGCCTGGCAAAGAATATGGACGACTGAGCTCACAGCGATACGACTGTCGGAAATTTCCTGTACTTTGAGTATTAATCGATATTCGCACAATGTAACCAGCCTTGGCAGTTCGTATCTGTTTGCTAGAGAAAGAATATCGAGAAGAATATCTTGGGAAACGTCTTTTGGTAAGTCATCTGTGTACAAATACTCCAACAGGCAATCAAATGTTTCGATGATGATGTCGGCGATCTCGATCTGAAAAAAAAATCCAAAAAAGATTAACCTTGCCCTGACTTAGTTCTGGGCTAGCCCACGGGTTGATTCAGTATTCCGACAAAATTGAAGAGCTCTCCGCGTCCCTAAAAAGTACAATTATACATCTGCTAGTTGACAATTATTCCCAAGGGAATGAAATAACAAAAGACACGGCGGCCATGTTGGTTGACATAACAAAGGAATTCATTAAAACAATTTTTCTGTTAAATTCAACCGAGATGGCGGCTATCACGTCATGTGCAAACGAAGAATTTCTATAATGAACGTGCATGACGATGAGGGAACTTTGATCTTAAATACCTTTACTCTTATACATTCAACGTTTCGTGTTCGATAATCGGTAACCATAGCAGCAAGCACGTGACATCTAGCTACAATCACCGCTTGATGTGCATACACGGGATTCCCCTGCACCTGAAACACCAAGTCTTCTAAGAGAGGTTTCTTGAGGAACAGATCTTTTAGAATTGTGGCCTTTCCTCCTCCAACAAAAGTTTTCTTTTGAATATTTTCAAGTTCGTTGCCCTCAAGCACATTCTCGCAAGCCGTGAGAAGATCTTGGAGTTGAAACTTTTCGGCAATAGCCATCAGTTCGTGAATGGAGTCGTCGCTTTTGAGATACGCAATAGAAGCACCTTCATAGAGAAACTCAAGAAGCCTTAAAAACTCTTTTCTTTTAACTTTTTTGCATACTCGAATTTCTACAATACGCCACTTCCTGTCGTTTTGGAAACCGCCATGAACTGGCCAAGAAATTTTTTCGAACATCTCCTGTGGAAGACCAGATACCTGCGACTTAGCAGTACCAGTAAGGATTTCCTGGAATAGCGTAGGAGCAGCGCTGATCAGAATGATCTGATGCGCATCAACATATGAATTATCCTCGAATATGAAGCGAACGTCTTTACATGTCGTGTCGTGAATCATCTTTGCAAGATCTTCAACTGATTTGGATGGCAGTACATTCACACCAGGACATGAAGGAGCATTGTCTATAAAATAATACCAAATAATCTGAGATATTGGCCCAATAAAAATAGTACTCCCTAGACTACCGTCCTTCTCCTCTCCGCAAAAAAATAAAAATAAAAATACAGCAACGAACGAAGGTAGAAAAAATAAGTTCAAAAATTGAGGGAAAGACTGGAGACCATGACCAAGAGTGAAAAATCGTTAGACACAGAGCAATGACGTCTCTCATGCATTCTGATCTAGCTTGAGTACAAATGCATCATGCCTTGTTGCTGTCAGATACCGTCAGAGACCACCCCGGAGCATCGTTTTGAGAGGAGCTAATCTGGGGTGTCGGAGGGAATGCCCATCCCCCCTCCCCCCTTGAAATTTGAAATGTTGAAATCGAGACTCTCACAAATATGCGATTTCCGGTGCCGCGGTTTTAGGGGTGTAATTGCTGGGTTTCAATTGACGTCATTTCCTGTCTTGTGTGGAATGTTTATCAGATGAATCCAAGTTTCAATAGAACTCTATCTGGTTGACAGCACACTGATTGTGGTCGGTGTTTGACCACCATTTGGAACAGATAAATAATGATAATAATGGGAATTAACAGTCGATTCCACAGAGTGGTTCTTCTTCCAATTAGAACTTGGAAGTTGATTTTAACGAAGGGAGGAAAACTGGAGAACCCGGAAAAAAACCATGCAACAGATAATGAGATTCAGCTGATCGAAACCCAGCAATAACATGCAATATGCAACATATGTATATAATTGAAATCGTATCAAAGCTTTAGACAACTCATATCAGAAATATCATTTTGGCTCAAACGTGGGGAACCCGTAGCCTGATTTGAATGCATTGCGCCTCAACGAAGAAGCTCTTTCTACCTACCCATCCCATAAAACTCTCTAGCATCCAAGATAAGACTATCCAAAGGTACGTCGATCGTTTGTCTCTTCGACTCCTTTCTGAACAGGCGTCTCTTGGGTATTTGACCATATGCTGCCATATGTACCATAACACACGCGGCTTCGTGTATGCCTTCTCCTGAAAGCGCGCTGCACTCTAGACATATAGTGTTCATAGTCTCAGCAACGTCGCATGCTTCTTGAAGAGTGACCATTGCTTCGTTTGAACTGAGAAAAGCAAGAAAGACAGATAGATAAAAGAAATAGAGAATGATAGAAAATAATAAAGGAAGAAAAGAACGGGTGGAGGAATGGATGGGAAGAAAAGAGAGGGAAAGAGTCCAAAAAAATAGATGGAATGAACGAAGCCAGAAAAGAACAAAAGAAGGAAACAAGAAAGAAAGAAAATAATGATAAAGTTGAATATGATTCATTATCACTGCTAATCAATATGAAAATGAAGCATTCCCAGCAAGGGGTTTCTGCCCTATTGGCCTTTTCTTTTCCTCTAGCTGAGGCGCTAAGCAGGTGAAAGATAAAATGTATTGTGTTTTGGTTACCACTGACGTTTGAAATACCACGACAACAGCTTAACATCAAACTTACAAACCACATTGGTTTATAACAATTATGCATAGACGGAAAAAGACAGTGGCATCGCTCTTGTAACAAAAACAACATTTCCTCGATCGATAAAGTCCTGAAAATACATCCCCATTAATTCGACTTGATTTCACTTTTCCCGTGTCATGCAAAATCAGTATAATCGTAAAAACGGCTGCTCGCTTTGTTTTCTCTTTTGCTCTTTGATAAGCCTTAAGCCTTAATCCTTAAGAAAATATAGCAAAAATACTAGAATAAAGGTGTCTATGTTTTAAAATTCGAAACAAAGCAGGTAGAAAAAATATTGTAGGTATTCGGTTCATTTTATAGTGAATATCACTGAAACAGAGTATTGGATTTCTTAATTCCTCAGTTTTGGAAAAAATTTTCTGCGTAACAAAATAGTAGTCGTATAAAGATGCTAAAGATATGGAGGGCATAATCTTCCAGTAATTGATATCCGAACTTTTAATTCTTATGAACGTTGACTGTTATAAGATCGATAATTGACTTTTAACAGTGCTGTTTCGTTTTGCCTGTAATTCTTGAGTAATTATTTTTTAGGAAATTTAAGCACTTCAGCAGCTTTTAAACAACTGGATCTTTTTAAATAACCCTTTCTGTGGCATTTTAATGTTTACATAGGAGAGCGTTTCACACATTAATTGATAACACCATAAGCAAACACCGCCGTATATCTTTCTCACCGAAGCATAACAAACTATAGAACATATCACCACAGACGTAATACGATCACCGTACTACCTTGGTAAACTCACGCGAAGTAAGATTCATTAATGATAAACTGCTCTAATATGAAAAAAAAGCTCAATTTAACCTACCTTTCTTGGTCATCTGTCTGTCTCAAATCAATCTTGTTGCCAACAAGTATAACAGGAACTTGAGGTGTTTGCTCACACACTCTCTCGTAAAGTCCCGAAATTTTTTGCAAAGATTCTCTTCTTGAAATATCGTAAAACACTGCAAATAAATCAGTTCCAGGAAAGCTGACAGGCTTGAGTTTAAGGCAGTCGTCTCCTTCTAATGGGTCGTTAAAACAGAGAGTGAACATTTGCTTCTTGAGTGTGTAGGTCGTCGCATTTACATCACCAGGAAACGCATTTGGAGTATATTTGGCTGGGAAATCATTGAGAACTAGACTATACAGGAAGCATGTTTTACCGACATTATGATCTCCTAACAACGTGATCTTTAAGACTTCTGACTGCATTCTGCTTTAAAAGTTCTTGAATAAATATTTTACGTAGTCGGAATTAAAGAGTCACTTTAGCTGGCCATCGAGTTTGTTATGATAGACGGGACAAGACTGGTAACTATTTCACTAATACGTGTCTTTTCATTGGTCCATCGTTCGATCAATCAGCAGGGTTGTTACATACTGTCTCGTAGCGTGTCAAGATTTAAGGAATTTGCTTCAGTTTGTTGAAAGTTTGTTGGAAAAATCTTCACAAAAATGAATAATAGAAAGGGTAAGATCAGGAATTTTAACTCGAATCGATTAAATAGAAGTGTCGGGATGACGACGGAGGAGCTTAGATCTAGAAAAACAGCTCGGGAAGGTTTCAAAAGACCGGTTAAAGATCTCCGTTTGAATCTGAAGAAGACGGGGAGTAATAAACCTGGTCCATCTAGAGTGATGGACGCTAGATCTAAACTACAAGCTAAAAGATCTGTGGAAGAGCTTGTAGAAAAGTCTAGTTTTAATATAGATGAACGGAAGAAGCAGCAGAAGTCTAGTAACCAAGTTGGTAATCGTTCTTTAAGTCTTGATAGCGGGACGATCAAAATCACAGCCAAGCAGAGTTTACCTCCGAATAGATCAGCTGAATTAGCAGGTAAATCTATCGTTATCACAACAAAAGTGGATCCCAAAGATAAATCAAAGTCTAAGCAACGTGGAAAACCAAAAGACCGTAATCTAAAGCTGGGAGTTGGAGGGATTACAGTTACCACTAAAGCCGCAGGCGGCTCCCCACATAAAAAGAAGAGACAGTATGCTGAATTGTCACGGGACGAGGAAAGAAGGAAGGATGAAGACTTAGATTATTATCACTATAAGAAACTGAAAGAGGAATCAAGGTTTGAGGAAGATTATTTGCCATTAAGAAACCAAAGAAATATGACACCACTTGCCGAGAGACTTGATCATGGCCCCATACCTGAACCTCTAGGTACACCAGTAACATCCACAAAAGTTACCATCACTAATCTACACCCAGCTGTTTCAAGACAAGATATTGAGGAATTGTTTGGTGCTGTGGGAGTCTTAAAGAGCTGTAAGATGCTTGGACCAGGTGCTGCAGAGGTTATATATACTGTAAAAGAGGATGCTGTCACTGCATATGCTAGGTACCACAACAGAAACTTAGATGGACAGCCAATGCAGTGTAAACTCAGTGTTGTACAGACCATGGCAACTTACACAGCACCACTATCAAGACCTCTGGTTCCATTACGCTCTACAAACCCTTCCCAAAGGCTTTTACAACCCACGGTCGAACCTTACCAACCACCTAAAAGAGCATCATCATCATTGCCGTCAGAATCGAGACCTGTGGTATTCAAAGTCAAAATATAGGCTACTACTTGATCTTTAATGAACTTGGGGGAAAATGTTTTCTCAAGCACAAGACAGATTTTCTGAATGTGCAACTCACAGACACTTGTTTGACCAAGCATTAATAATGCATGGGAGTCAATGCATAGTTCTTGATAAATTTAGTAGATTTTCAACACCTTTATGGGAGCAGTTGCCTTATCCAGATTGCTATCATTGTCATCCATTATTTTTCTATTAACTGGTCTGACAGCCAATAGACGTCAATATTAAGAACATTTATTAGTGAATGTTTGGTGATTTATTGTTCCTTTATACCATTACAATATTGTTCTAGAGCCTTATACAACAGAATAGCATTGTTCTTTATATTTGTGCTGTGTTTCAGCACTCAACAAGCATAATTTAAACACACCCACCCATAGAAGCAAAGATATCTTGGTAATGTGCAACTTATATTTAAATAAATCTTTAGAATTGTTGATCATGATGAATTAAGAAGAGGTTTAACAAGTGAGGTACAGTATGACTAATGCCTCTCAATCCTGAGTTTGTTTTATATGCCTTTAGACACTCCTGGATTCAGGGGGAAAACTAGGTCAAGTTGGCATTGCAGTGCATATTTTCAACATAGCATCTATTTCACCCCCACAACAGTCCCACAATGCACTGCAATACGAGCCTTTGAACCTCAGAATGACTAATAGCCAGGGCCCGGTTGCATAAAGCTCTCTTAAGATAAGAGCATCCGTAAGTATTGTTCCAAAACAATAGGCCATTGTACTAAGACAATACTTACAAGCGCTTTTAAGCTTTTTTATCTTAAGAGAGCTTTATGCAACTGGGCCCAGATTCTCTAGGTCTGAGAACCTTGACAGCCAGAGAGCATGGCTACATAGGCCATTGCTTTATATATATATAATACATGTAGCAGTAAATAACAAGCATGAAGGAGTAGCTTCTAGTAGCTAATATTTAAAATGTGACCTAAAGAACTGCTAGCACCTGAAAATATTTGAAGAATATTTTGATATCTAGCTTAATACTATAACAGCTTCACGTTGTTTCATTGGTTTTATCTCTTCCATTCTTACATGTAAAGTTGCAAATCTTGATTGGCAGTTTGGCAATTGACATTTTCTTAAAATATTTTGAAGTGATCCAGGTTCTTTAGATCTCACTTTATTTCCACTAACATCAATTATAGATCATCATTTCATTTGGTGTTGCACACAAGTATTCCTAAACTTAACGGTGAGCAATCTTTCAAGCAAGCAAACAACAAAGGATTCAGATGTTTAAAAAATTACAGAAATTTCTGACCGTTTATTTTTCTGAAAATAATAAATTTGAATATAATGATGATGCACAAGATAAGGGCAGGATTGGGTTGGTCTAAGGTGTTCTTACAAGGATCAATCAAAGTGAGTTTTAGAATATCTTATATAATGTCCCTTCAGTAGTTTGAAGGCCAGGAATCGTCTTGAAGCAGCTTGCAGGAGAGAGTGGGACAATGGTGTAGTAACTCTTAAATGGCTTTCATAGTTAAACCAATCAAAAGCTATGACACAACACACCATCCAATTACAATAGTTGAAATACCATGCATCAGGTATAGGTAGAAAGTCTATGTTATTATGGTAAGTACAATAGGGCATGTAGTTGGTTTCTCATGATGTAGCAGTGGCAACAGCAGGAGCTAAACTGGAGATGAATCCTGTTGCTTTAAAGATGAATGAGCGTACAAATGCAGGACATCTCTGGTGACTGGCCATTCCTTCAAATCCTCTTCTGAATTCTGAAAATAGTTGTCTGTAAAAAGAACAAAGGTTATCAAAAATCATTAGCTGGTGTGACTTGGATCTGCTCAAGACAAGAACCTGCCTGAAAGTGTACTGTTTGCCATCACAACRCAGTTTTGGAGTGTCAATCAAATAGCTCTAAAGACATTCCATGTGTTCTTGACAACCTTTTGTCTCCCAACAATGCYGTCCAAAACACATCCACCAAAACTYGTTTTGTTAGGATAATGATCCCACGATAGACTTTTTCTGAGATAGCAAACATGGTGTATTGTCATCTCTAGCTTTGGTACAAATATCTTGTTCATYGTRCCTTACATGGTGTTGTTCCTACCCAAGCTAAACCACAATGCATTGTGTTTATCAAACTCAGAATAGGTCTATTTTAGACCACTACCTTACCCAATTAGTCTCTTTGGCATGCAGCTCAGGGCCATATGCATGAAGTACAGTACATACCTGCAGTAAGGATTTCTTYTGGATGAGTATCTCAGCCCTAAAAACCTGTAATACACAAAGGGGATGACAATCCCAGCTTGTCCGCTAGAGAAACAACACAAAAGAACAATGTAAGATGCAAATCATCAAAGTAAATGAAGCATATTTTACTACTGTATAATAATTTACAGCTGTACAATTAGCTTATTGGAATTTGCCACAAACATAATACAATTAAATACACAACATACAAAGCTAAGGGCGGCCRGAGAAGAAAACAGAGCGATAGCCCCAATTGAAATTCAACTCCTTAAATTTGTACATCACTATGAACTGATTGAGACTAACTTGTGCAACAGGTAAACGGGCAATAGACTACCATCAAATAAACTTTTGAAAGACATAGSTATACATGGGAACTAGGAAAAGTTACATGGGAATGATATTTGATTGACAGTACTGGTAGTCTTTGCCTATTTACCAGTTGYGGCTTTCGCCTCAATCAGCTGAAAGCAGCAATGAAATCATTAGTATTATTGGCTCAATGAAATCTTATAACACTACATTATTAAAAGGGTAGGCATTACAAATTTTATAATCCAAAAAGTTTTYTATCAAAAGCATTTCATTTAGTTGGTAACACTCTATAAAGGATTGATAACTAAAATGTTTTCAAGGAGTTCTTGAGCTACAAAAAATATGGTAAGACTGTTAGTAGTTATAATCAGTTCTTTGATATTTTGCGGACCGTCCGTTGGAGCAAGTTCACTAYTCAATTGGGTGTGGCCTCGTTCCTGCGGATGGTTTGTGGGAGGGTGGGGRCTGTTTTGCAGTCTATTTGCACATGGATTTTTTGATGGGTGTAGGATTAAGGGCTGGTATGGGATTATATTTATTCACTTTTATACTTAATATTTATATTTATTGGCAAATAGTAATATACTGGGGTTGGGTCAGGGTTAGGGTTGTTTTTTGGGATAATCTTAAATCCACTAGATATTTTATAAATATATATTATTAGCTTGCTTTTACATTGTACTTTATATCTTTAGGAAGGCACTTTGTAAACCAGTCTATGACTGAAAGTTTAAACCTTCGTTAAATAAAGCTTTTATTATTATTATTATTATTTCATTTTCCCAATATAAATACCAAATAAAAGGTAATGCAGTAACTTACAGTGCATTTTGTATTGATTAAGGACAAATGATTACCTGAAGGTCATAAGAATTACAGCTGGCATAAGCATTATCTCTGTACAGGCAATAAACCTCAGAATTCCTTGTTGGTAAAGTTCTATCTTATCAATGGATGTCCTTGCTGTCCTAGATATGATGAATATAATGACTAGTTCAATCTAGAGGCTCTACAAGGGTAGAAGGAGTGGTAAGTAAAATAGAAAGAGGGAGAATTAATTTAACACTTGAATGTAAGTGGAAAATCATTCTGAAAGGAATCATTTTCTTTCCATTTCCYAGTTTTCCATTTCCATTTCCATAAAGGTTGAGCAAAAAACCTTCACACTTCAAATTGCCTTTCCAAAAAGTCCCAATAACATTGATTCCGAAGGGGAGTATCAAAGACAAATTGATACAAGAAAAATAGGCAGGTTTTAATGACAGTAAACAAAAGCTACAGTAYTTTCAAAGCGAGATTTGTTCTAAATATATAAACAAAGACAAAATTGAAAAGCAGATAGGAACTTTCTGGGGACCAAAAATCCTGGTTGGCCACAACTAACCTTATTATGGAGAGAGATATAATTCCACCAGAACCAAGAATCTGAATCAAAAAAATTTATATATTCCAACTTTTCATTTTCAAAAAAAAAGACATTCATTTGATTTWAAAAAAATTCAAACAACGTTCAATAAATTATTGATTTTGTAGGACTTACATCCAAGAGCTTTTTAGTAAAAGATATTGTGTGAAGAATAGCAAACAAGGCAACTGGAATAAGGATCACTGTTGTATGAGTCAAGGAGGTTATGTAAAGTAGCTCATCTTGTAAGGTAAACTATCCGTGTGTATACATTAAATATTAAAGTCTCTTCTCTGCTCTTTTCTATGTATAAAAATAAGTGTGAGTTGTGCTGTCCTTAAAAGAACAAGTAAATCAAGGTACTGCCTTTATGATCTCATATTCAAATGAAATAATTATAATCATAATCATAATATTTATTTATATAGCAAAGATATATAAAAATGTCTCTGTGATTTAYGATAAATAATAAGAAAAATAAAAATAAATAATACACTGAATCTAAGCACGGCAACCAACCCAAATATCCACCGCTTAAAATTTCCTTTAATGAGTTACTAATTTCCAACATTAGAATAAACTCAACAAAATTACTTGATTCTGATTGGATAAGAGGAGTACAATTAAATCCCAAATTCTGAATTGTACTCGAGATTGTGTGATTTCCTATACTAACACCATTGAACACAATATTATAACGGGTAGCTATTAATCTATCTGATAAAGGATACTAGTCACTGGATAAGAGTTTATGAACACCACGCAGTAGATAAGGTAATGGCAACTGTCTTCAAGGAATAGCAGGCCTAGAAATTCTCTGCTTAATTGGAATCTCTGTAAATGAGACACATGATAAAGCATTAATATAAAAAAATCATCTGGAAGACACCACAAGATTCCATCTTTACTTTAGTAGCCTTAAGAGTAAAATCATTCATAAAATGCATCTATATTGATTATACTTTGTGTCTTATAATCTTACAGGAAGTCGTTGATGAAGTCTGAGAGCTGACGTAGCAGCAGAACTGATCAAAGCTCTTTTGTAACAACTATAGCTGAACTGTGGACTAAAAARGTATGAAAAAAAGAGATTAGAAACACAGAAAATAAGCTCCATAATTAGATTAATTTAACAGRAAATATTAAATATATTATAAGCCATGCTCTACCAATTACCATGGTTTAACAGGTGTTTTTCCTTTACTAAAATATACAAGTTTCTGACTGTTCTAGATCCAGAGACTATCCAGACTTAAATGGCCCTTTGAAGGGAAATTGAATTTCCAAGAAATAAGGAACATCTGAGGATAGTTTATTCCCTGCTCACAGTCTCCTTTTCTTTTCCTTTTGCTGAATTAGCATACGCTTCTTTTTTTTTCTCTCTCTACCCCCCCCCCCCCTCCCCCCAAAAGAAGGAGCAAAAAGGAGCCTCTGCCAGCAGGGAAGAGAGTTCAATGTAAAATTCTTGGAATATATATTTATTCCCCCCTTAGGGGATAGAATTTTTWAAAAAATGGGAGATTCTGAGAGGGGATATTTTTTCTAGAACTTATATTTCTTTACAAACCAGCCATTTTTACATCAGTTTGCCAGTCAAACAAAAATGTGTATATTCAAAAAGTCCTTCAAAAATATCCCAATACCTTGGTTCAATGGTTCAGGTTTATTGAACAGATGTATAAAAAGTGGCCAGCAGAATTTCCTGGAGAGGGGATTCCAATTACATACTTCCAATCAACTATATTGATAATAATTTTCTGGAAGCTAATATGAGATAAACTCATTTTATTTACTATAAAAATCGTTGATAACTACCAAGACCTTTACCTGAACAATGGAAGAAGAAATAGGAGGGAATTGACGATAGTAAATACCCGCGTCAGCCATAGCGCAGTGTCGATTTTGTTTTCCGTTAGATACCTCTAAACAAACAAGCAGTCAAATGTGAACCATTATTATTTAGTAGTGGAAATAGACCTTATTCGTGGTGTGACAATGTTTTCCCCATTCAGCGTGACGAACCTCCAGGGGATTCATTTTCTTTTGTTTTTACTCTTTTTTACCAAAGGATACGAAAGGAATAACGATGATATCCCGACGAGTTTCAAAACAATAGCTCTTCATTCCCCCAGAGGTTTGTCATGCTGAATTGGGAAAACATTGTCACACCACCAATAAGGTCTATTGACATAAGCAAAAAGACTTTCATTGACACTTGTAAACAACAGAMGAGTGGTGAACCTTCCCTGTGTTCAACATTTTTTTTTGGATGAATATATAAATGAAATGAAATAAAATGGGAATCAACTGTGGTTTCCACAGAGAGACTCTTCTTCCACTGGATTCAAATTGTAATTTAACAGTTAATTTTGGCCAAGGGAAGAAAACCAGATAACCTGAAGATACGTCCTTAGATATGACAAAGACATTTCTTAATGGAAAAAATAATCATATATCCACTAGTCTATTGACCATTGCTTTTAATTTTTCATATTTTCAATTAATATCAATGATTTTTAAGTGGATATAGTCCCTGGTGTTATAAAGATGAATGGATTTGGTCTGTACAAGGTGTGTATTTAAAAAATATATATTATTTCCTAGAAAGAGCTTTGGGGGTAGAAATCTAGAAAGAACGAGACAATTCATTGATCTATCAACTAAATATTGAAACTCAACTTGCTATCTGAAAAAATCTTAAACAATCCAAACGAAACAAGCTTTCTGTATTAGTTTTGAAATAGTGCTTTCGAATGAACCATTCTAACGATTMAAGTACAAAGATTTTCAATTCACTCCTATCAAAACATTTGATGCGATCTCTTCGTCTTAACTTCACAACAAAAGGCATTCGAAATTCAAAGCCATTTCACCACCGATTGCAGTTTCAATTGATTCGATTGATCAAAAAACAAGTTGAATAACTCGAGAAGTAAATATTTCATTAATCTCGAAGTGTTTCTTGATATAACTTACTCTCAAAGCGCCCCAGTTGGCTGTAGTACTTGTGTTCGGAGGAACTGTGGTTCCACTGTTCGGTTCGCTAGCAGCATCTGTATCTTCGTGTGGAGCCATCGTATCAATACGATAATAAATACACTACAAATACAATACCTCTACTATCAAAAAAAGGAATTCTTTGTGGAAATAAAGGTTTTGATGATCAACAGATCACAATTATTTCAATCAAATATATTTCTGATGATTCTTGGAATAACAAGCCAGGTGCGAATAACCGCTGACACCTTGGGCACCGGTCTTTTTCGACTTTATTGGACGTGCGGGAAATGGAAACAACTTTTAATTTAGACTCTTCCACAGTCTCTCGCTCGTCCGTTCCGTCTCCACGCTTAGCACAGGTAGCCCAAGCTTGGTTTCTGTGGTGTCCTGCTATAAGGAAATGTATGGAGATTCATCAAAAATTTCAATCAAATCATTGAAACGTGAAATAAGGCCTCGCAATTTTACCCGATCATTGAGAAATAGCACTTCTTTCGCTCTGCGTGGTTATTTTTTGAATATATTTATTTATTAAGAAATAACTTACTGGTGGGGGAAAAAATCTTAAAACGGGCTAAATTCAAAAAATAACCACGCAGAGCAAAAGAAGTGCTATTTCTCAACGATCGGGTAAAATTTCGAGGCCTTATTTTACGTTTCAATGATTTGATTGAAATTTTTGATGAATCTCCATACATTTCCTTATAGCAGGACACCACAGAAACCAAGCTTGGGCTACCTGTGCGCTTAGAGACTGTAACGGTACAATGACCGAAAGGACTTATGGGTCCCGTAAACCTGGACCCAGCGTGCTTTGGGGACCAAAATACTCGTCCACAGTCTCTCTCGTTTTCGCCGCCATCTTGAAAATATTGAGTATTTTGGTCCCCAAAGCACGCTGGGTCYAAKTTTTCGGGACCCATAAGTCCTTTCGGTCATTGTACCGTTACAGTCTCTAAGCGTGGAGACGGAACGGACGAGCGAGAGACTGTGGAAGAGTCTACTTTTAATTTTGATATTTTGGGCCATTATTTTCACTTGATTTTTTTAGTAAATCAGATTTTTTTGATTTTTTTTTGTGGTCTTTTTGATAACATCGTATAGTTTAAAATACGTTAACAATCAATATGGAAAGTATTCATAAGTTATGGTTGAGGTCGTTTAGTAGGACGGGGTACGTGGGATTTTGAGACGATATTCGAAGAGCCTTTTTAGCTGACTATGAAAGACTCAGTAAATAAGATCTGATGTRTCCAATGCGTATGTTGCATGCCAAGCCCGAAATGCATTATGGGCGATGTAACATGAATACTTTTTCTGCACGTTTTCATGGCATAATAGTTTCTCAGCCCGTGTGCTGACATTATTTGCAAATGAATATAATTTCAAGCTTAGTTAGCAATATACAGTAAGCAATATACAGTAAGCAA